ATTACTTTTCAAAAACATATATTTAATTCATCTTAAAATTTTCATTTGTTTAATTAAAATTAATTAAGCGAACATTAATTAAAGTTTAGGGCGAACCTATTACCTTTAATTAACATTAAACTTCATTAACAAATAATTAAATGAAACTTATATTTTATTTGAGTTCTGTGGATGAGAACTAAGGAATTACCTTGAACTCCGTTCTCTATATATACAATTTTTATGCTACTTTCTATTCTATCTATATACTATCTTTTATGTTCTTTTTACATATTATCTTTGAATTATCTTTCTAATATACTATCTATATTTTAAATACGCTATCTTTTAATATGCTATCTTTTTATATTATCTTTTACATTATTTTGTGTTCTTTAATCTTTCTGACATTATTTTATATATTCTTTTAATTCGCTTTATGTGTTTTACTTATAATCTATCTTTTGTGGCTTATAATTATTCTTTCTTATCGTTCTTATTGTTAAAGATTGCTAAGCCGCAATTGATCGACTCTATTTACCCTATTGGTTCCTTGTCAATCATTCAATAAATATTACATCATGTAGATCATTACTCTTCCTAAATGTTTATCCTTTTCGGCTAATTATTTATCCATTTACGCCAATTTATTATTAATTTGTTCGTTCTTAATATTTAATAATTACATTTGGTGGTTGAATTTTATCATCTTTTCGTGCTTGATATTCGACCGTTTACAACGCGTATGTTCCTTGTAGGCTGGTGTGAGATTGTAAGACTGAAAAAATAAAATAATTAATATAAAGTTACGAAATTAAAATAATAAATTTCTCATTCTTACAAAAATCAAACTACAATTGCCCAATTTATCTCCTTCACGTGGTTCAGTTGGCATAAATCTGGTATGATGCCTCTTTTGCAATATAATACTATATATTAAGGGATTAGTAAATTTAGAAATTGTAAAATAATAATGGTAACAACATGACTTTAAAAAACTTACAATGTTAGTGTAGGTCCCAAATTTCTGTACACACTAGCAAAGACTTCTTTAAGTGCTTTTACTTCATAAGTTTTTACATGTTGAAATTGAGTTTCACCAACTCCATCACGATAAAACAAAAATTTTCTCGGTAAAACTTGATTTCTTTGATAAAAACACGAAGTAAATCGATTACTACTCCTTTGAGATCTTCAATAATTTAATTTCGAGGATCCTTATTAACACTAAATCTTCCAGCGTATCTAGTAGCTTTTTGAATTCAATGAGGCACATACAGCTACAATACTTGGCCTATTATCACCTCTTCCGGAATGGAAAACGTCAGCGCCGAGTATCATTGTCAGTTCTGAAGATACAAAATCAATTTGATCGTTGGTTAATATTACATTTTGTCCACCTAATTTTGCGTTCACTTTCAAAAAGATGTTTGAACAAATTTGATCGATTCCATTTTTTCTCTCTAATCGTTTGAGTAAAATACATTGAGTTGGAACACCCAATTGCGTGTCCCAATCCTTTTAATTTCTCCATATATTGGACTCATTGATCCCAAAATACATATAATGATATGTGGAGGATAATTTTTGTTAAACAAAGATTTGTGACAAGCAATATTCAACGCCGTAGTAATTTCGCTTTGAGGATATGACGTAAGGATCATTCGGGATGTCTAAAGACTCTGTCTTCTAAAAAAAGAAAAAATAAAAACATTAGTATACGTTAAAGAAATATATAAAAACATAAACATTATCAATTTCTCACCAAAATCCCACGCGTTTGAAGGGTGAAATGAAGACAAAACCTAAAAAAGAAAGTTTAATAGTTTAGTACCAAAGATGACAAAAAAAACCTATAAACAATAAAAAAACCCACCTTAATTTCCACAAAAGAGACATTGAAACATAAAAAGGAAATACCGAACCCTAAAAAAGAAAGATAACACTAAAGGGGTCACCGAAACCTAAAAAGAAGCCAAATCTACAAAAAAAAAAGAAAATCAAAGTCAATGACGAATACGAAGAAATAAAAAATGAAAAAATGGACGCTCACATCCATTTTCAAATAGGAATGGCAAAATCTAAAAGAGAAAAATGAACCGTTAAATAGAGTTCATTAAAATAGAGTAATTTATAAAAAAAAATACCCACCAGAATCCCAATGTTAGAAACTGTTCATTGGCAGTGCAGAGCTGATATAGAAGGTGCAGAATTTTAAGATGATATACAGAAACGGAAAGAATTTGGAGAAAGTAAAGGTAAAGATGATAGCACTGGCTACGGCACCACCAGCTAATCAACCGGTAAACTTTTCTACACCGTAAACACCTTCTGATTGAGGTTAGCAAATATAGCGGCCAAGAAAAACAAAAACCGAACAACACCAGTTACTGAAGACAAGGTAGTGGATATGAGAGTGGGAGAGGACACAGACTCGGACTCAGATTTGGAAGGTGATAAGGCAGAAGCCTCGACCAAAACATCTCTGAAACAAGATAACATTGCACAAAAATAAAGTACGTTACTGTACGTACGATACCAAGCGCATCTGAAGGTTTAAAAAAGGTGAAAGAGAAATTAACCGAATTGGAGGAGATTTTTTCAACAACCTCCGACGATATGGAATGGGAAGTTATCAAAAAGAACAGGTATCAGAACTTGGACAAGATGTTTTTGGCTTCTTTTTTTTTACATTAACTTACTTTGTGATGGGAGAGTTCGGATGTGATTGTTCTTTTTTATATATGTTCGTGCAATTGCATGGGTACATATTACATTAGTGTTGACCCCTTTGTACTATTTAGATAGAATAATGCTTTGCTGTAGAGTTGCGTAACCTTTCTAATATCTACTCATACAAAGAATAATAAAAAATGCAGTGCAATTGTTAAAAAAAAAAATTTTGTTTGTTAGAACAAAAATAATTAAAGAAAAAATTGAATACTTACCAAATTCATGTTTAAGGAGACCGAAAGAACCGCCTACAAAAAAGAAATGTTCAATTAGAACGTTTCTAATGAAAAATACATATCAGATATATAATTTGGGTTAAGCTCACCGTTTCAAGAGTGTTTCAAGCTCCCAAACTAACTCCCGAACCTACAAAAATAACAAAGGAAATGTTAGTAAACGTTTCCTAAAAAGCAATTTTTTTAAAAAAAATGACTTTTTAAAAAAGTTTCGAAGTGAATGCTTCGAAACTTACCATTTTGTTTTTCTGAAAGAAGGGAAAGGAAAGGGCGGAAGAAAGGGGAAGAAGGGATAGGAGTAAGGGAGGTGAGGGGATGAAAGAAAAAAAAAATTAAGCTTTGCCAAAAAAAGCTTAATTTTTTTTTTCGGTATACCGCAGCTTCAGCTGCGGTAATTATTAATTTAATATCACATGATGCACGTGATATATATTTTATATAAATATGAGACTTTTCCCAAAAAAATTTTTTTTTTATAAATAATATTTATGATTTATATATGGGCAGACCTATAGCAAAAGGTGGGGCTCGGGCAATCACTTGATTTCGAAAAAATTGCACTTTAATATTATTGGTTAATTAATAAATTATAATTTATTCCATCATTTTTAAAGATTTTTAAAATTAATTGTTTGCAAACTAGGGTAAAATAGGTAATACAAGACTATAAGTATCAAAATTTGCAATAAAAATTAAGATTTGTAATTTAATATTAAGATTTGTAATTATAAATACAATATAAAAAATTAAGATAAAAAAAGTATGAAAATTTAATTAGATATTAGATAAATTGAAAATTTCACAATTAAACTTTTTTTTCATTTTAAAAATCATCATATTATTGCCTCTACAGATAGAATCTATAATTTTTTTTGAAAATAATACATATTTTTAAAATTAAAAAATAATATTGAATTAAGATGATTTCATATTTCCTTCATATAGCAAATGTAAAGTAGTATCATATAATAGTCACATGTAATATCATTAAAGTTGCTAAATCAGTTTATTAGTATATAAAAGAATGAAACAAACAATTATTATATTACATAAGTATATTTAAATAACTTTAAAAAAGAAATCATTTCTTAAATAATGCTTATTTTCCAGATTATGATTATCCTTGCATCTTGAATTACAATCATGTACAAAATGCACTTTCTGAACTTTTTCTATGACCGTTAATGGAAAAATCTTGCAATAAGTATCATCATGCCGAAGAACAAAAATTGGACATTCCAATCTGTTATGATTTTTGCAGATATCCTCAAACCAATCAACATAAATAAATGGGTATAGATATCCATCATTACTTTTGTGTTTGAAAATACCTTTTATAACTGCATAACTTTCACCATAATCAGCCACTTGTATTGTTACTACATCATCTATACTCAAATGGCATTGAACCTCAGCATTATGCACATCTTGAATGTAAGATGCATATTCATAAAAATTACAAGTTTTGTTAATGAGTGATGAGTTATATCCAAAACTTTCATATGCAAGAGCTAAGTCAGTTCTGAACGAAACTGTATCAATTCCAATATTTGTATTGCGAACAGACACTGGCTTTCTTAGCATTATATTTCGAAAATAACTAGATGGTGAACAAACTATTAAAAATATTAGCAAGTAATGACCATTTTAACTATTTATAATAAATATGTCAATTACCTTTAAATTCTTTATTATCTGTCTCTGAACTTTCCATAATAAACCAATCTTTAAACAAATGACTAAAGTCTTGAAATAAATTCATGAATTCAACACTATGCTGTAAGTTTCGAGGATCAATTCCACCATCTGAAAGATGCCGAATGGCTTGCAAAGTTGTATAATATTTTAATAAATCAAATTCAATATTCTTGCAATTAGTATGCGGAACTTTATTTTTAAAGATGCGATGGACCATTTCCTTTGTTCCAACTGCAGTATTTACAAGAGTGCCAAAAGTTCTTACATGCCGTGATAAATGATAACTAGCATGAAGATTTGGGAGGCCTACAAAGTCATCAAATAACTGCATTTGGTATAATTTAGTTATTAGAATGAAATCAAATGTTTTTTAACACAAGAAAAGTTATTTTTTGGTTCAAAACCTAATACAACTCTTGAGATTTACAACACAGAGTCACTTCTGCAAGTTGCTAATCTCATTTAAAATTCAATAATATCAATATAATTAATATAATTAATGTATATATAAACTGAACTTTACCTCAACCAATGCTTCTCGTTCTTTTTTCAAATATCTTTCAAGTTCAATACGATCATCAATTGTTAAAGAAATCTTAAATGTTAATTGAGAGCACTTCGCTACAATTGCCCAGCATTTAATAATTGCATTAATCACTTGATTGCGATTTAGTTTTATTCGTCTCTGTAATTTGTCCATTTCTTGTTGCTTCAAACAATTAATAGTCAGTGATCTATTTAATATAAATGGCATTACCATTCCTAATCGAATACGATCTGACATCATAAAGCTTTCAAGATGACTAATAGGATTTGGAAGCTTTGACCATTGTTTGGGATATTCAAATGATTTCCATTCTCTAATAAAATTTCGTTCACCTTCTGGAGATAGCATAGTGATCATTAATTTAAGTAGTTTTAATGTCTTGCCAGCTATTATATGGTAAATATCCTGTGGTGACTGCAAGTGACGTTCCCATTGAAGCTGATCAAAAATTGGCAAACTGGTTTGCAAACCATATTCTTTTGCAATATTATTTCGTTCTTCTAAAGTTAAAGCTGTAAAAATATTTTTGAATTGGATGTTAGTAATATGATGATAATGAGAAATACTAGCAATATCCAATGTAATATCTGTTGCATTTTCTTTTGCAAGGCATGTTCTACATCCTCTTATTGCATTATGTCGTTTTACACCTGTTAAATCATTGCCTTGGGGTAGGTCTGCAGTTATACATTCAAGTCCAGCTATGATCCAACAATCTCTTCCTTGGATATTCATCAAAATTCCTTTTTCCAATTGTTTCATATCTTTAATAAAAGGATGAATGAAATCTTTAAAGCAACCGCCAAAAGGAATAAAGCCCAAGACGAAATGATTACGAAGATGTTTTCTCATTTCAAATGGCATATTCCCTAACTGAATATATACTCCTCCTAATGAATGATAAGTGTTCCTATACGTTCCAAAATCATCATAATAGATATCAATAAATATCTTTAAAATTCTGAAATTGTTATATGATGATGGTGGTGAACTTAGAGCAGAATACTCGCATGGATGCATATAATCTAATGTTGCATCCCGTAATTTCCAATGGCCATTGTTTTTGTATAATATTTCTTTAATAAAAAGACTGTTAGTAATAATAGTTGAATCACGAACAATTGTAATATCAACTTTTTTAATGATCTTGTAAGTATTTGCAATAATACTACCCTCTTCCAAATGCTGATCTATCAGCCACAATTGTGATTCACTTGTAATGGAGCGAACGTTACTATGAAAATTGTTTGGCAATTCATAATAAGTACAAATCCGTTGTATTTTTATTTGAAGTTCATCATTAATGGATACTATTGATCGTATTCGTCCAAATCTTCGTTTGCCATTTTCTTTATATATAATAAATTCATTTGGATAATAAATTTCTAAGTACAAAGATATATAAGATGAACAACAATGTTAATAACATTAATAATAGCAATAAATCAAGTAAATCAAATATACCTCTATTGATAGTTATTTTTTCTTGGCCAAATAATGGTGATTCAGCCCAGAGGTCTCCATGCCAATATTCCTTTTTTTCTTCAGCTTCTATACCTGGTCCAAAATACAACTTGTCATATAGTAACGGATTATTTAATATATTCTGAATGATATCACGAATCGATAAATAGTAACAAAGCTTTGTTCCTTTAGAAGTGGATGGTGTTTTCTTCAGATTTATTTAAATAGAGCGTGTTCTTATTGGCATCAATGGTAACCGATTTCTCCATTGCCGAAACCTTCTTATATTTTTTACAACATCTTTTACTTCAAACTTTTAATGTTGTAATATTTCTACTAAATCATTATATGCGTTTGTTGCTATATATTGATATAAATCTTTATTAGAATAGACCATTAAATGCATTAGTTATAGAAATAAACTTACATATATTGTGTTTCTGCACCCAACAAAATAACAATGCAGAAGTCAAATTTTCAAAGTAGGGTGCAAAACTTCCATTTATATTCAACATATGGTCACTATCTATTGATGAATCAACTATTTTTTCTTCATACTTTATTACAAATATAAAAGGATCAATTTTATTAAAAAAATACTAACAGTATCAGTGACAATAACTAGAGATGAAAGTTTAATGATTCAGTTTGTAAGAATGGAATTGAACTGATTGAGCTTTACATAACTATAAAATCCTAGTACTCAGTTTTCTAAAGAAGTAAGAAATGAATAAATAAATTTAAAGATTACTACTTACATTATCATTATCATCAATGATATTATCACCATCATCATCATCATCATCATAATAAACATTTTCATCATTGTAGTCATCTTCTTCACCATAGTTATCATTCTCTTCTTCAATATGGTTATCATCAGCTTCCTCATCATAGTTATCAACTTCCTCACCATAGTTATCATCATTTTCTTCACTAATGTAATTATCAGCTTCACTATAGTGATCATTATTTTCTTCAATGCTAATGTCATCATCATTATTCTTTTCATTGTGGTAATTATCACTTTCAACCTCCATTTCATCTTGCAATTCAGTTTCACTGCCTTCCTTATTATCTGTATTTAGTGCTATAAAAACCATTATAAAAACATTAGAATTATAATATTAATTATTAAATTCTGAATAATATCATCAAAATCATAATGTTGGCCAAAATTTGTTGGCTGTAAATCAGAAATTTAGCCAAATTTGGACACTTACATGAACCAAGATGTCTATGTTTTTGAAGAATATTACGTCCAGAAAAGTTTGTACTTTCACGTAAAGAGAATGGCTTAGTTAATGAAAGTCGACTTTTACGCATTTTAATTTTAAAAAAGCATGTAATTATATGAGGTTTTGCTATATATAACTTTAAATAGTTAATTCGTGATTCGTGTAACAATCAGAGAAAATCATGTGATTTAATTAGTGTCGATCGGGGATAAGAACATATATCGTTTTATATAATAAACAGAAAACTGTTAGAATCTCTCTCGCGTTACCCAATACAACCATGTAAACTTTTTCGCGTTACTTGTTATTACTCTACAAATATGACAAAAGATAAAAATTATGATGTTTCCTTAGTTTCTGTGGGAACTATTGATTCAGAATTACACTTCGGACCTTTTCGTATGAATGGTGGATAGTTTGCAATCAAGAAATGGAATTTCTGGTTCCTATTCGTCTGCATATGAAAGTAGTAACCCATTTAAGTGGACATGACTTTATTTTAACAGTGGTGAAAGGTAATAGGGAACATTTTGAACAGCCAGGGTACATTTGCACTTGTGTATCTTTTTATACTACTGAGCCGAGTATTTCTAGTTCCAACGCGATATCTACAGTTTATCAACAAATGTTTCATACTAAAACCAGATTTTCAGGTCCTATGATAATGGGCTTTGACAAGCCAGATATTTGTAAAAAATTATTAGAAGGAGTTTTATTTCGTCCATATTTTGTTAATCTTGAGCTGGTACGCATTTTTGTATTTGGGATTGCAAGATCTGAAAATGATCAATGGGGATATGCTGGAGTTGGATTTAAATCAAGTTTTTTGTTTTATTTGGCAAAGGAGCGTTGTTTATTTCTTCAAGAATTTGAAGAAGATGTATGTAAAGTAACAATAATATACAAAATGGAAGTTGAAAAAATATATTGTGCAAGCACACCTAATCTTGTATGGGAAAGAATTTTTAGCGAACAAGGAACAAAAGTTGCCAAATTAAAAACATTTACTGGAAGAATGCTATTTGGAATTGAAAACACTATAACACAACGATTTATTCAGACTCTAAAAATTCCTTCTTGTTCATTGAGCGATTGGAATAATGATGTGCTTATGGAAGAAGTTTATTCTTATCATCTCAAGCGATGAACTATTAGTAATGTTGATTGGCGCAAGTTTCTAAACAAGTGGAAGTTGCAGGTAACGATAATTGAATTGCATAGTAATCTAAAACAATTATATCCTTTAGATCATAAATTTAGCGAACGTGAACTAAATGCATGGAGAATAATGCTTCGCAATATAGGATGTCATGATGTAACACCTTTTTCAAAACAGGATTCAAAGGTAAATATAAATAATAGTTCATCTGTAAAAAAAAAAAAAAAAAAATTA